CCCCCCGCCGCTGCCGCCGGAGCTGTCGGCGGCGGCAAATGCTGCGATGACTGGACTGCCCGTGCTCGAGAAGATAGACCCTTCTCCTCTTTTATCTCTCTCTGAGATCGAATGTTGTCTGGTTACATCCACGGATGACAGAGAGAGGAGAACGGTGGGGAAAAATTTTGCCTTTCTTGCGCGGAAAAAGGCAGACAGGTTGGAGCCAGGCAAATATATATCTATATATATATATATATATATATGTTTTACAGTAAAAGAAGAAACTAATTTCACAGTTTTTCTCTGGGTTCTTTTTTCGGGTTTTTTTATATAAATTTTCTGGGATTTTCTTGGTGACATTTCGAATGGGGAAGAAGAAGAAGCTTTATCATTGAAAATGGGTATAAGCTGCTGTTAATGGAATTGAAATAGAAGAAGAAGAAGAAGAGGAAGAAGAAGAAGAGCTGAAGAAGGAGGAGGTGAAGCTAAGCATTTGATTTTTATAACGTTCTTCGAATTTTCCATATTCATTTGCTCAAAGTGTTTATGTTCATGATGATGATGATGATGATGATGTATGCTGTATCCCTTTTTCCTCTGCTGAATTTGAGTAGACTAACATGAGATCTATGAATACAGAATCTACAATCCTTCCCTTTTCTTCTGATTCTTTCCTCTCTGAATATCTGCATTGTTTATTTGTTTAGCATTTTGATGAGATTTAAGATATGAATATCTCTCTCCATCATTAGGTTATGATTTGGTTTTAAGTCCATCATCAATGGAGACAAGAAAAAGGTAAATTATGAAACTTTTAGGACCTTTTCATCATTGATTCCCTTGAAAAAAATCCAGATTAAGACAAATCTTCTGATTCTTGCCATTTTTTTCTGGTTATGAGCTTCCTCTCATTACATTAATCTATGTTAATTCCCTTCCTAAGTTCACTGAAAGTGATCAAAGATCAAACTTCTCTGCACGTTGCCTGCCATTGTTAAGCATATGGGTTTTCAGGTTCTGTGTTTTTGTTCATCTGAGAAACAAGAAAGCTCACAGTATGAGAATCTATTGCTATCACTCATCTGCTCATGAATTCTTCAGATCATTCATATTCTATGCTTTGGTTCTTTGATTTGGCTCTCTGAAGAAGTGGTCCAGAAGAAACCAAGACTTCAAATTCTGAGCTCATTGTCGTTTTTCGCGTCTGAAAGATCTTAGCTATGTATGATTTCCTTGGTTTTCTTTAGCAACCGCTCTCAAAATCCTAAAGAAACAGAGACAACGGCATAGAAAGATACCCGATAAGCTGAACCGATCATTCTTAGTTTCGGAAGAGAAGACGGCAAGAAAGTGATGATAATGGCTAACTCCTATGGAGAGAATGATATATGGTGCCTTTTAAGTGTTAAGTTCCTGAGAGAATTTTGAGTCTGAAAGTGACTCTTGCTTAGACTTTTTCCTCTTTTTAGGTGATGGATGTTAACTTGCACAAAGCCTTGTGGAATTTCCTTCTACTTATCATTCTGTCTCCCCAGATTTCAGCTTTTTAAGTCGTTTTCCACAATGTAGGTATCAAATCAACTTTTCCACTTCTTCAACCGAGGTTTCGAATTACAAACCAAGAAGTTCTGATCAGCACAATGCTCTATGCGAGACCTTTATTCAGTTTCAATCTGATCCTGAGGCCGAGTTTTTCCAGAACTGACCCAACTTTTCGACATGCCCGTTCTCTATCTCCGTCCTCTTCTTCGTGAATAAAGTGTACTTAGAGACCTTGTTCTGGTCTTAAGCTTGCAGCTCAGAGCCTTCTTCTCCTGCTTCCCCTCTTAGAGTCAGGAAATGGGCATGACACTTTTTTCCTTGTTGCAGAGCCATCTGTGAGCAAGCTCCAAGAAAAGCCGAATCCTAAGAGAGTAAATTCTATTCGAGAGAAGTTCACCTTCTTCGATCAATGGCCGAACATGAAAGGAAATGTTTCGAGATGAAATACGGTACGATGCTTTAAGGTTGCTCTAGAGAATAGTGAACAAGGGTATCTACTACATTCCAGAGTATATGTAAAGATACGGTTATAATCTTGTAAGTATAACCGAGAAACTGTCACAGATAGTTGTCAAGATAATTGCATTCCAAGACACAGTAGAACTCTCCAGCTTGCCATTAATGAAGAACATCTCAGAAAGGACTAAACCACAGCAACTGACTAACCATTTAGTTGCAGTGTTTTGCTGCAAGTGTGCTTATAGAACACATCCAAGATTTCTCAGTTCATCAGTTAAGAATGCTGGTCAATGGGGAATGTTTCCACACAAAAGCCCTGGAATCGAGCCCCGAGACTTGTTGTCAAGATACGAAAATGCGTTAGACATCTTTCTGATAAAGTTTGTGCCAGTTCAACCAAACCAGAAAAAAAAAAAAAGAACAGGTCCTTTACCGAAAAGATTAATACTTGACAAACTGACCAAGCAGTTCTTGTAAGAATGAAACCTGTAATGCAAGCCCTGCTCAAATGGCTAAAGGAGCGAAGAAGGACTATAAACCGAAACCCTTTTCATGTTATCTCTGCAATTTTTTTCCTTTAACAAGTGATCTTTGACTAATGCCAAGGCCCTTCACACAGGATTCTCGATCTCTTTGCATCGATATCGGGGATTGTTTGAACGAGAAGATGCCATCAATATCTTAGACCTACCACTCTTT